ATCATGAGTGATGTGGAGAAAGTAGATAAGGAAAAGTTATTTACTTATTCCCATAATACAAGAACTAGGGGTCACCTAATGAAATTAATAGGCAGCAGGTTTAAAACAAACAAAAGGAAGTATTTCTTCACATAACACACAGTCAACCAGTAGAACTCTTTGCCAGGGGATGTTGTGAAAGCCAAGACTATAACAGGGATCAAAAAAGAACTAGATAAGTTCATGGAGGACGGGTCCATCAATGGCTATTAGCCAGGATGGGCAGGGATGGTGTCCCTAGCCTCTTTGCCAGAAGCTGGGAATGGGCGACAGGGGATGGATCACTTGATGATTCCCTGTTCTGTTCATTCCCTCTGGGGCACCTGGCACTGGCCACTGTTGGAAGACAGGACACTGGGCTAGATGGACCCTTGGTCTGACCCAGTCTGGCCGTTCTTATGTAAAGAGATAGAATCCTCCCCGCTAACAGCCCGGACAGCGTCTTTTAACAACCCTGAAGCGTTTACCCCCAGTAACAGGTCCAGCTGTTATTTCGCTTCCTGCTGGGGTTTTCTTACCACCCCCGCTGCCCCATTAAACTGAACCAACATCTTCCTACAGGAAACACCCCAGTGACCTGCTCTCAAACGACGTTCCTACGTTAGCACAGAGCAACCCAAATGATCAAAAGCCCCATGGTATTATTATCACCGAGGGGTCGTGGTGCCAAGATTTCCTTCCCAACCACCAGAGTCCTCAACTTTCTTTCTCTTTGAAACAAGAGCTGAGACACACCCCGATCACAGGCTTTAAGTAAAAACATCCGTGATGGGGTATAGACTCCCTGCCCTGATCCTGGCTCTGAGAGGGTTAATGCAGGCCTGAGAGGCCAATTAACCCACCTGGCGGGTGGCGGAGAGTCCTAATTAAAGATGAAGCCCGGCTGGGGAAGGAGCTGGGTGGTGACTATTAAAGAGAGCACAGATGGGAAGGAGAGAACGCTGCAGGCCCTGGCTTGGAGGTAGAGAGCAAAGAACCTAGAGCCATGGACGAGGATGCCCAGGGGGAGAGCTGGCCTGGGGGCTCCTCCCCTGAGTGGCGAGGCCAGGAGAGAAACACAGCTGTCGCTGGGGTGGAGCGAGCGCCGATGAGAGGGTAGGACCTGCAAGAGGCTGGAGCCTGCTGACAGGCTATGGCAGGAGGGAGTCTGGGGACAGGTTGCGGGTTATAGGATCCCTGGACTGGAGCCCAGTATAGTGGGAGGGCCTGGGTTTCCCTCTAGTCACTGGGGAAGCAGGTGGGAGGCTCCGTCAGTGAGCCCACAAAAGCATGAGCCGACGAGACTAAAATAGCCGAGTTTGTCATTTCTGTAGCCCAATCGACAGAAGGTTTGCCAAACTGGACCCGCCCATTGGCCCATCCAATATGGTGTCCTGACCAATCCCCTGATGGATGCAAACTTCCCAGAATGCTTCTGGGCCAGTAATATAGTCCTGGGATGGGGGGCTCCTTTGTGACATCAAAGTGAAGACATGGAAGCTATGAGCCAAGCCCTGGGGTTTAAAGCTCAGAGAGCAAACGGATTCCAGTAAGATTTTTTTTTTTTTTTGGCACTGGTAGCAAATTAAGGTCAAAGCCATCAATCGTTTATAGAAAGGAAGGAAATTATTCCAACTGCCTTATCAAAATGCAGGGAAACTATATTAGCCGGGCCCATAATTAAGTCAGAACATGTGACCCTGTGGATATTATCCTGAGATAATACTTGGGAATTGAGAAATTAATGACCTGCAAATATAACTGTTTTAACTGGCCACTTTGGGTTAACAATGCCTCCGACAGAGTCATTTGGCCTGCGGGATGAGTTATCTATGGCTGGATGTCTGGTGAGGTCTATTTCTTGGCTGTAACTATAAAATCCCAGGCACACGTCCTTTGATATACCGGGCAGCATTATTGCGCTCCCAGCCACAGGTTGGTTTGAGAAATCAAATGTGTTTTTCCCTGGTAAATTAGTAAAGTGGCTTCCTATGCAAATCCTGCCCTCGGAGACCTTCTCGCTACAGGACAGAATGTAAATTCCAAGTGTCAAGGGAATCAAAAGAAAACCAACAAGATTTGATAGAGGGACAATTCAGGATTGTGTGCAGGGGTCCTTAACGCATAGGGGTCATAGTGATACATTACAATGCAACGCAACACTACATGCCACTCAATGCAGTGCTAGGCAACACAACACAATACAATGCAATTCAACACAACGGCATGCAATGCAACCCAGCACAGTACGGTGAAGCACCATACAGTGCAATGTAACACGACAAAGAAACACAACATCGGACAATGCAATGCAGCGTAGCACAATGCAACACAGCACCACTCAATGCAATGCAGTTCAGCACAGCACACCACCGCTGTAGTGTGTCGGGTTGCATTGCATTGAGTGGCGCTGTTTCATTGCATTGTGCTGTGTGGCATTGCATTGCGTGAAGCACAAGACACGGCAATGTGACATGACACAATGAAACATAACGCCATGCAAAGCCACGCAACACAACGCACTGCAATTCCACACAGCACAATGCAACACAACACAGCACAATACAACACCCCAGGGTATAATGCAGCCTAAAACAAGAAATGGGGAGGGGGAAGACCCACAACTCTAAGAGGGTTTATCAGTTTCACCCCAGATTTTATTTAAAACCCCTCCTTTATAGTAGTGACTACACATGGGCGAGTTTAGCTTTTGCCAGAGAAAGTGGAAACGAGGTTGAAATAGGCTAGACTATTTTTTTTCATCTTTAATTAAAGTGTCACTCGTGGGATTGGCAACTGTTGTGCTTTGATTGCGAGTCTTGCAACATTTGGGATTTTCCTTCAAGTCCCAGCGCCTGGAGCCAGACCATCGCACGAGAATCCCAGCGTTCGTAGTTTAAAAAGGTCAGCCTGAAAACCTGCCCCGGGTGTGACCCTAAAGGCTCAGAAACCCAGAAGAAAATTAAAAAGAAACCAAAACGGACTTTTTTTTTTGAAACCATCTCGTGATTTCTAAGCCAATCTCATGATTTTGGGGCCCGACTCGTGGTTTTTGGACACTTATGGCTAGCGACACTGCTCAGCACAAATGTGAATATAAGAACGGCCATATAGGGTCAGACCAATGGTCCATCTAGCCCAGGGTCCTGTCTTCTGACAGTGGCCAATGCCAGATGCTTCAGCAGAAATGAACAGAACAAGCAATTATCAAGTGATCCATCCCCTGTCGTCCAGTCCCAGCTTCTGCTAATCAGAGGCTTAGGGAGGCCCTGCCCATCTTGACTAATAGCCATTGAGGGACCCATCCTCCATCAACTTATCGACTTCTTTTTTGAGCCCTGTTATACTTTTGGCCTTCACTCAACACCCTCTGGCAATGTCACCAGAGCTCCTGAAAGAATGACAGCTGGGCATGCAGCCAGAGGCCACCAAAATTAGGCCCAGCGCCATGTGGGCAGACCTTCGTGCCCTGCCTGGGTGGTCCAGTGCTTAGGGGGCCAGCCAGGGAGCTGCTGTACAAACACAGCCCTGCTCTGCGGAGCTTCCTCTCTCTGCACTGTGTGTGCAGCGCCTAGCACATTGGTCCATCTTATGAGTCAACAGGTGGACACAGACGGGGGCGGGAGGGCACAAAGAAATCGATGGGACCCGCTCACAGCCAAGCTAACAAACCCTGGTCGCGTTCGGTGCTAGCGCCCTGGCTGGGGAGGGATTTGGAGGAGAGTAGCCAGGTTGGGAAATTCACAGCCAAAGTTCCCCTAGTCCAGCCAGGCTGCGGCCAGGGACCTGAGGGGGGTGTGGGAGAGAGACAAAGAGACAGAGCCTCACCCACTCACCCAGCACTCCAGGCTTGGGAGGGGAGAGCCAGGGCTCCTTCTCCATTGCTGGGGAGGGGAACTGCGGGCTGGCTGGGTTCCCCACACCTGCCTCCTTCTGGCTCCGGTCCCTCCTTCCTGGAGAGGGGGAACGTGGGACCTTTCCTCTCCCCCTCCTTGTCTGGAAGGCTCCCATCTTTGGGGAGGGGGGGACCCCCCTCTGGTCACTTTCACATTTCCCGGGGACTCCCCCACGTGCTCCCCACGTTGGGGGGGGGGGGGGAGCGGCGTGGCGCAGCAGCACCCGCCCCCCCCCCCCCCCCTCCTCCCGAAATGTTTTATTTAACACGCTGCTGTACCGGAAGAAGAAGCCATATTTCTCCTCTCCAGCCCTGAGCCGCCGCCGGCCCCGGCCACGGCCAGCCCTGCGCCCTAGCCTTCCCGGCGGTGGCTGGGGAGGGGGAGCTTGGCGAGGGGGGGGCGCTGGCCCCCCGGAAGGAGGGGGAGCGCTCCGGGCAGCAGCACCAGCTCCTGTTGCGCGCAGAGCCGCGGCTTTGGAGAGACAATACCCGCGGCGCAGGGCGAGCCCAGCCGGGGCGCGGAGAGGGGGGCGCGGGGCTGGGCGCCCGGCCGCCGGCGGGGGCAGGATGCGGCTCCTCCGGGCCGCGCGGGTCGGCGGCTGAGCGCCTGCCGGGAGGAGCGGAGATGCCCGGAGCCCTGCAGACAAAGGAGCCGGCGCCCCGAGGGGAGGAGGCGGAGAGGGGCGCAGCCTCCCGGGTTTAAGCCCCTTTGGGGCCGCCGCTGGATTCGCCGCTCACCATGCCCCGGGGGAGGCAGCAGGACGCGGGCTGCGGAGGGGCCCAGGCACCCACCGAACCGGCCTGGCCTTAGGAGAGCGACCGGGGCCGCCCCCCTTCCCTGCCCCTGTCTCCCTCCTCCTCCATCACTAGCTGCCCCCCGTGCGCTCCCCAGCGCCTGCGCCCCCGGAGATGTGTCCCCCAGGCGGTGCTGGCGCCTCTCCCCCTTGTTGGCCCCTCGAGGCCCCCTCCTCCTCCTCCCCTTCTCCCGATGCGGCGGGCGCCGCGCAGGGCCAGAGCTAAGCGCCCCCCCCGCCCCGTGCGCCCCTCGCCCCGTGCGCCCCTCGCCCCTGCCCCAGCTCCCCGAGGCGCTGCCGCCGCTGGGCCCGTGGTAAATGATGTTCAAGTACCGGATCCGCATGTTCTTCAACGAGCTGAAGCTGCTGGTGCTGATGCGGCGGGGCCGCCCGGAGCCCGAGCCCGGAGCCGGGGGGAGCCGGGCCCTGGGGGGCAGCGGCTGCGGCTGGCCCCCCTTCGCCGACTGCTCGGCCCGGCAGGACGATGAGGCCGAGTACTACGGGGGGGTGGCCGAGCCCCGGCCCCGCAGCCTGGCCTTGGAGGAGAAGGAGCCCCGGCCGCCGCCCCCCGGCCAGCAGCCCGGCCAGCAGCCCGGAGCCGGGGGGGCCCTGGACACCGTGTCTCTCAGCAGCAGCCTGGACAGCGGCATGAGGACCCCGCAGTGCCGGATCTGCTTCCAGGGGCCCGAGCAGGTCAGTCGGCGCCTCGCTGGGGTACGGGTTAGCGGGGTTACTAGGGGTGAGGAGTACCGGGGGCTTACCGGGGTTACTAGGGGTGAGGGGTGCCAGGGGGTTACTAGGGGTGAGGGGTGCCAGGGGGTTACTAGGGGTGCCAGGGCGTTACCGGGGTTAGTAGGGGTGAGGGCTGCCAGGGGGTTACTAGGGGTGCCAGGGGGTTACTGGGTTTATTAGGGGTGAGGGGTGCCAGAGGGTTACTAGGAGTGCCAGGGGGTTACCGGGGTTATTAGGGGTGAGGGGTGCCAGGGGGTTACTAGGAGTGCCAGGGGGTTACCGGGGTTACTAGGGGTGAGGGATTCAAGGGAGTTACTAGAGGTGAGGTGCCAGGGGGTTACTAGGATGAGGGTTGCTGGAGTTTACCAGGATTATGATGGGTGTCAGGGGGTTACTAGGGGTGAGGGTTGCTGGAGTTTACCAGGATTATGAGGGGTGTCAGGGAGTTACTAGGGGTGAGGGTTGCCGGGGGTTACCGGGATTACTAGGGGTGAGGGGTGTAAGAGGGTTACTAGGGGTGAGGG